ACCTGGACCTTCAACTCCGATGGTTCATTCGGCGAGGGAACCATCGCCAAGAACGGTGATGGCTGGCTCCTGAAAATGTGGCAAGTGCTGGGCGATGGCAGCGTGGCCAATGCGACGCATGTCTTGAGCAAAGCTGATGACAATACGATGACCATTCAAGCGATTGGCAAGACGATTAACGGCGAACCAGTGCCGGCTTCAGGAACAATCACGGTGGTTCGCTCGGGTGACACAGCAGTTGCGAACGCCCAGGAAGGAGAGTCGCAATGAGTTATCTTCGACTGTTTGCTCTCTTCGCCGCATTCTTGATGCTGACCCCTGAAGATGGCTTTGCCATTGGGGGTCGCGGGGGTGGAGGAGGAGGACGAGGTGGCGGTGGGTTTTCGCGCGGAGGTGGTGGAGGAGGCTATTCTCGCGGCGGGGGAGGTTTCTCCGGCGGTGCCTCTCGGCCCCAAATGTCACGGCCACAAGTATCGCGACCCAACGTGAGTGCCCCGAATCTGGGCTCATCGCGACCAAATTTCAACACGCCATCGAGTCGACCGAATGTGAACCTACCGCAAAGCCGACCGAACATCAGCCCGGGCAACTCCCGGCCAAATTTCAATCGCCCAAACGGAGGGCTGAATCCATCGAATCGTCCAACCACGCTGCCGGCGAATCGCCCCGACTTTGGTTCGCGGCCCAACACTAGCCTGCCTAACTTAGGTGGAGGAAATCGGCCCGGCGGTGGAGATCGCCCAAACCTTGGGAATCTTCCCGGAGCAGGCAACAGGCCTGGCGGCGGAGACCGCCCGAACCTCGGCAACCGTCCTGGCGGGGGAAATCGACCCGGCGGGGGCAATCGTCCTGGTGGACCACCCTCGGCCGGCGATCTTGGTGATTTTCTAGGACTCGATAAACCCATCCGACCCGATGGCGGACTGCCGAACCTCCCCAATCGTCCGGGTGGAGGCGACGGTCCTGGCAACCGGCCCGGTCCCGGCGATCGACCTGGAATTAGTGATCGTCCCGGTTCCGGCAACCGACCTGGAATCGGGGATCGGCCGATTGGCAATGACATCGCCAATATCGGAAACCGAAATCGTTGGAGTAACAACGCCGTCATCAACAAACGGCCAACTTGGGCGAACATCAACAACAGCACAAACATCAACATCAACAACCGCTGGAACAACGCCATCGTCCGCCCGGCCCGCCCTGGTTGGCAACGCCCGCCGGCGAACCGCATCAGCTACTGGCGAGGTTGGGGCAACGGTGTTCGTGACAGTTGGCGGTATTACAACTACCACAACAACTGGTTCACCAACAGTTGGTGGCGCAACCACCGCTACCCAGCCTGTGGATGGCACTACCACTACCGGTTTAATCGCTACCCGTATGGATACTGGTGGCGCGTTCCTACTTGGGCCGCGTTAACCGGCTGGTTCATCTGGGATGCCCCGCGAGACGTCTGGTCGCAGCCGGTTTATTACGATTATGGCTCAGGCGGCAATGTGGTGTACCAGGACAACTCCGTCTACGTTGGCGGAACCGAAGTGGCCTCGGCCGACGATTTCGCCGCCAGTGCTATGGACTTGGCAACCGTTCCTCCGCCCGACTCGGAGCAGCAAGCCGAGGAAGCGGAGTGGATGCCGCTGGGGACGTTTGCAGTTTCGACAAATGAAAAGGACACCCAACCCAGCCAGGTGGTCCAACTCGCGGTAAGCAAAGAAGGGATCATCAGCGGAACGCTGTACAACACTGAGACCGATCAAGTCCAGGCCATACAGGGCAAAGTTGATGAGCAAACCCAACGGGTAGCGTTCCGTGTTGGCGACAGCCAAGATGTAGTTTACGAGACCGGACTCTATAATCTGACCGAAAACGAGGTCCCCGTCCTGGTACATTTCGGTACCGAGAAGACGGAAGAGTACCTACTCGTACGCATGGAAGAGCCCCAGCAGGATGGCGATGCCCCTGACGCAGATGCATCGAACGATGGAAATCCCCAGTAAGTAAGATGTCGTCACTTTAGGCATGGCGCGCGTTAGTACGCGGCGCCATGCCGGGCTCGTGGAGAGACTTAAATGCGTTGGCAGGGAAGACGGCGTAGTCAGAACGTAGATGATCGACGTTCGCGACGAGCCGCCCCGGCAATGGCTGGCGGCGGTTTGATCGGGCTCATTCTGGTGATCGTTGTCATTCTGCTCGGTGGCGATCCACGACCGCTGCTGCAAGAAATGCAAAACGCTCCGCCGGCCGCTCAGCAGGCGCCACAAGACGTCAACCCTGCTGAAGATCAACGAGCGCAATTTGTCTCCGTTGTTTTGGCCGATACCGAAGAAGTCTGGCGAGATATCTTCCGCGGGCAAGGCCAGCAGTATCAAGTAACGCAGCTAGTGCTGTTCCGCGACCGCGTGTCATCTGCCTGTGGGTTCAACACAGCGGCCACAGGCCCTTTTTATTGCCCCGGCGATGAGAAGGTTTACATCGACCTGAGCTTCTTCGATGAGATGGCCCGCCGGCTCAACGCCCCGGGCGACTTTGCGCAGGCGTACGTCATCGCCCACGAAGTTGGGCATCACGTTCAGAACTTGCTCGGCCTGTCCGATCAAGTTCACGCGCAGCATGGGAGAGTGAGCCAGGAGGAATACAATGAACTTTCCGTGCGGCTCGAACTACAGGCCGACTTCCTGGCCGGCGTTTGGGCTCACCATGCACAGCAGAATTGGAACATTCTAGAGGAAGGCGATATCGAAGAAGCCCTCAACGCCGCGACGGCAATCGGAGACGACCGTCTGCAGATGGAATCTCGTGGCTACGTGGTGCCTGAGTCGTTCACGCATGGCACGTCGAAACAACGTGCCCGCTGGTTCATGCGAGGGCTCAGAACGGGTGACATGAGCCAAGGCGACACTTTCTCCATTCCGTACGAGAGCCTATAACTTACTGGCACAGGAGAGGCATTCACTCTCATTCCAACTCTTGCCAGGGCTTCGCACTACCTGATGACCATTCTTGCGAGTTTCGCCAGGGCCATCCAAGATTTCCGTCGCGCCCTACCCGATCTCCTGTTCTTCGATGTGCTATTTCGGATCATCGCTCTAGTCGCGTTGATGCCGCTGGTAACTTGGCTCTTCGATCGCTTCGTGGCATCCAGCGGCAACTCTGCCATCGGCAACTTTGATATCGCCCTGTTCTTGCTTACGCCGACAGGGATCGCAGTAACGCTGCTGCTGATCGTTTTGGCCTGCACTATCTCCTTCGCCCGGTTTGCTGGGCTGCTGTATATCGGCGCGGCAGCCGGGCAGGACCGACGCGTGACCTACGCAGAAACCCTGCGTTTCATATTCACGAAGCGGCTACTAAAGGTTTTGCAGGTTAGCTTCCTTCTCCTGCTAATTCTCGTTCTGGTCGCTCTCCCATTTATCATCGGCGCACTAGTCACGGCCGACTTGCTGCTCACCGAGCACGATATCAACTATTACCTCGACGCGCAGCCGCCTGAGTATGTGAAGGCGATCGTCATTGGCGGCGTGCTTGCCTTCGGTGCAGTAGTCGTAGCGGCTCTCGTTAGCGTTCCGTTGCTCTTCGTGCTTCCCCATGCAGTATTCACCGATGCATCGCTCTGGCAGGCGCTGCGTGAAAGCCGGCGTTTGGCGGTAAGCCTCGGGTTTCTACGCATCAGTGGGATGATCCTGGCCTGGATTGCGGCATGGTTTGGTGTCTCGTTCCTGGTGAACAACGTCATCCAAGAGATCGGCGAGTTTTTCATTCACTTGACCGGCGACGCGGTCGAGCCGCTGCTTGTCGTTCTGGGAGCTCTGGTCACAACCAGTATCGTGGTGAATTTCTTGGTCTCGTTCATGGCCGTCTCGCTTGGCTGCTTGATCGTCGTGCAGTTGTACTTCCAGGCCTGCCACAACACAGGCAGCTTGCTTCCGTCGATCGCTGCACACTCTCCTACCCTGCATCAGAAGCCGCAATGGTCGCTGCCCAATAAGGCCCCACTCGTGGCTGCACTCGTGGCCCTCGGGTTCACCGTGTTTATCGCCCGGCACATGATGGAGGGCTATCAACTCGACGATCGGGTTGATATCTCCGCCCACCGCGGTGCCTCGCTCGAGGCCCCCGAAAACACGATCAGCGCCATTGAACAAGCCATTGCAGCGGGAGCCGATTTTGTAGAATTCGACGTGCAGCGAACCTCCGACGGAGTGATCGTCCTCAATCACGATGCCGACCTAATGAGGGTTGGCAAAAGTCCCTTGGTGGTTTCTCAATCAACGCTCGAAGACCTACAGGCCGTCGACATAGGCAGCTACTTCTCGCCCGACTTCGCAGACGAACGCGTTGCCACGCTTGAAGAAGTGATCGATCTCACCAAGGGCAAAATCAAGCTCATCGTCGAGCTGAAGAGCTACAAAGACGACTCGCCGCGACTGGTTGCCGAAGTGATCGACATTCTAAGGGCACACCGTCTCGAAGACGGCGCGGTCATCATGTCGCTCAAATACGACGAAGTTGTCGAGGTTGAGCGCATCGCCCCTGAGTTCATCAGCGGATTCGTCGCTTCGGCCTCTCTCGGGAATATCGCAAAACTGGAGGCCGACTTCCTGGCCGTTTCAAAGAAGCAAGCCACCGAAGCATTCGTCATGGACGTGCATGCGAGTGACAAAGAGATCTTCGTGTGGACCGTCGACGAGCCCAAGACAATGGCCACCATGATCGACCGCGGGGTGGACAACATCATCACCAACGATCCAGCCACCGCGGTAGTAGTGTTGAACGAACGCGAAGACCTAAGCAACGTCGAGCGAATCCTGCTGCATTTCAAGAGCTTGTATCTCGATTAGTCTGCCACTGAAGCGTGATTTAACACATGCGAGCCGTCTTATGGCAGTGATCGATGATGCCGAGAAGGCTGAGCCCTGGCAATCGGCCCATTTACCAGAAGTTTTTGCCAGCATCTCAAAGCAATGCCGCAAAACGCAGCGATTCCCAATCAGTAAATTTGCTCATTCTTCATCTACCTGCAGTTCGTAGCATGCTGCCTCGTGATCGTTGCGCACCAGCAGCAGAGACCCTGATAGTACTGGATGGTTCCACGTGCGACCCTCCAGCGCAGCGACTCGGGCAACTTCGTGATACTCGGCACTGGTAGCCTCAACCAGTGCGACGTCGCCTGTTTCAGCCTGGATCAACAACAAATCGCCCACCAAAAGCAACTGCCCAAAGCCGTAACGCCCCCGTTTCCAGGCTCGCTTCCCCGTATTGAGATCGAGGCAGACCAGGATGCGTTCATCCAGGCCATATATATAGCCGTCCCGCGTAACCACGCTCGAGAATTTTGCTTTCAGATTTCGATTCCGCCACACCGCTTCCACCGAGTAATCATCTTCAATACGTTTCACTTCCAGCAATGCACAACCTTGGCCGTAGCCGGAAGAGATGAATACTCGGGTTACGTCATCTGTCAAATCCTCATCGAAAACAACTGGCTGACAAACGTTGTTCTTTTCTGCGGGGTTGCTGACCCAAGGATACCCCCAACGGTGCTCACCGCTTGCTAAGCGGTGCCCCTGAATACCTTCACCGTCAAAAATCAAAACTTGGGCCTCGCCACATATGATCCCATGCTGTGGTGAGCTATAAGACGCCTGGCCCGAGCCTCCGACCCACATCTTCTTCCCGGTCTCGTGATCGTAGGCAACAAGCGAAGACCCCTGACCTCCGGGGCTGACGATAACGTAGGGCTCCAGGACCAGTGGTGATCCCGCCATCCCAAAAAGCCGGTTCGTCACATCATTGTCTTCCAGAATATTGGTCGACCAGATGCAACGGCCGGTGGCACCATCGAGACAATTTAGAATTCCTGTTGCTCCCAGCGCATAGACACGTCCAAGGCTTATTGTGGGAGTCGCCCGAGGGCCATGGCCCCCTTCTACTGCATAAAGGTTGGCTTGGTCGCGATGCTCCCAGCAAACTTCACCCGTCCGCATGTCATAACAGACAACAGTTTCAAACTCACCTTGCTGCCCCTGAGTGACACAGAATCCATTCACTACAGCAAAAGACGACCAGCCAAGACCCACCCGACGCCTCCACAGTTCCTTGGGCGGATGCCGGTTCCAATCTCGCCTGAGTTCAACTCCTTGAATGATTCCGTCACGGGTCGCACCACGAAAACCTGGAAAATCATAGGCACCAGTGTGCTCCAGGTTGGCGGTGTTTTGCCGATTCTCAATCGTTTCATGCGGCTCATCCACAACAACATCAGTATGAAACAGTTGGCCAATGTCGGACAGCACATGCTCGGGAACGGCGACTAAGACCAGGAGCAATAAGACTATTTCTAAGCCTGCAAAAGCCAGCACACTCTGTGGCACCGAAAAACGACATCTTCGAAATTGCATGCACCACAAGAGAACGGCGCTCTGAGCAACTGCCATCACCACAATCAAATCAACGCCCAAGGGAGTAATGATTGAAACTCCTGCAAACTGCACTGCAAGCAGAGCCCCAAAAGCAATTACCGAAAGAACGACAGCACTTCGTACCAGCGCACGGCGATGTTCATTCACTCGATCAACCGGCAACTCGATCATGGTGTGCGAAAAACCTCAGAGAACCTGACAGCCAGGGAGCTTACGGCGGATCCTTGCTTTCGCGTCTTCACTTACACGAGTCTTCCAAAGGCTCAAGATTTCCAATTCGTGCATCGCTTCAAGATAAGGCACAGAAGCATCGCTGATTTGCGTTCCTTGCAAGTACATCTTTTTGACGTGCTTCAAATTGCACAACTGGCTAACGACTCGATCATCGGCACTGGCATCCCAAAGAAGAACTTCTTCAACATTCATGAAGTACTCATCGCCAACCATCGAGCGAAGCCATCTGGGCCCCGGTGGTTCAGCCTTCCCCTGAATCTCGAAGTCGTACATCACACTGCCCCCCAGAGCTTCAATCGCCTGAACCGCCATTCGCTGACGATGAGTTCGCCCGGTCACCTTAACCATCGCCGAAACCACAATCACAATTAGAATGCAGACAATGATCCACTTGGTTCGAGAGATACTCCTGAATACAGAAGTGAGTCTCGACATATCTCAGTCTTCTTCTGCTTGTCCGAACGCCTATTACAAGCCAGCTATCCCTGACCTCAGAAGGTCTTACCGGACTCCAATGTTGCAGCAAGGTTATTCTGCCTGACATTTCTCATTGTAGAATGAACTGGCATCGGTGGCATGAATATTGGAGGGTGAACCGGTCAAGTCGTTGCATATCTGTCTCAATGGGATATCTTCCTCGTTGACCGCCTCAGCATCTCGTGGTGCAATACGCCAAGACCAACTGGTTTGGTCACCAGGCTTCCCAATTCATCGAGTGGGAGATGCACTCATGCACGCAACGGCAACCGATCAAGTCACCACCCGCAGACGGTTGGACTTAAACCACCCGGCGATGCGGTTATTCCAAAAAGCCAAGAAATTGGGCACTTGGGACCCCCGCTCGTTTGACATGACGCAAGACCAGAAGGACTGGCAGCAGATGACTGCCGACGAGCAACAGTTGCTCATCCACCTGGCTTCGCTATTCCAAGCCGGCGAGGAAGCCGTCACCGTAGACCTGTTGCCGCTCATTCAGGTCATCGCTGACCAAGGCCGCCTTGAAGAAGAGATGTACCTGACGTCCTTCTTGTGGGAAGAATCGAAGCACGTCGAGGCGTTCGATCGCTTTCTTTCTGAGGTGGCGGGCGTCGAAGGCGATCTGACGAAGTACCACACGCCCAGCTACCGCACCATTTTCTACGAAGAGCTTCCTAATTCTCTGCAACGCCTCCGCAAAGAAGCTACGCCGGAGGCACTGGCCGATGCTTCGGTCACTTACAACATGGTCGTAGAAGGCATCTTGGCCGAAACAGGCTATTACTCCTACCACGAGATTCTAAGAGCCGCGGGACTGATGCCGGGCATGCAGGAGATGATCGCCAGCACGAAGCTCGATGAATCGCGCCACATCGCCTACGGAGTATTCCTGCTCTCACGATTGGTCGCCGAATATGGCGAATCGATGTGGCAACTCATCGAAAATCGCATCAACACGCTCGTTCAACCGGCCGTGCAAATCATCGGCGAGGCTCTCTCGCGCTACTCACCGGTCCCCTTTGGCCTGACCGAAGACATGTTTGTCGGCTACGCGATGTCCCAGTTTCAAGCCCGCTTGAACCGTATCGAAAAGGCTCGCAATCAATCGCTCGAAGAGGTATTGGGCACGGTCGAACTGGAGGAACTCTGATCCACACTCGCTAGGACAAGTGTGAATTGCTCCGTTTCAGTTTGAGAACTTTCTTTGCAGGCCCATGGCTTTTAGTCGAGAGTTAAGCGTCGTAGGCTTGATACCCAATCGTTCCGCTGCACCCTCCGGTCCGTAGACCTTCCCTCCGGCTGCTTCGAGAACGCGCCGTAAGTTCTCGCGCTCGAGCTCTCGAACCTCTGCGTCAGTCAGCAACTCGGCTCCAGATATTTGTGGTATCTCGTTGACCTTCGGGGATGCTTCTTCCAAACTCACCCGCAACGGTCCACCCTGTGAGAGGATTACGACACGTTCAATCACGTGCTGCAATTCTCGCACGTTACCGGGCCAGGAGTATTGCTGTAACTGTCGTACCACAGCCTTTGTAAGGCGCGGTGGATCGACCCCAAACCGCCGCGATGCATTCCGTAAGAAATGATCAGCCAGTATGGCGATGTCTTCGGTTCGCTCCCGCAGCGGAGGCAATTCAATTGGGAAAACGCTAAGTCGGTAGAAGAGGTCTTCCCGAAAGCGGCGATGTCGCGATTCCTCACGCAAGTCGCGGTTCGTGGCGGCAATCACGCGCACATCAACCCGTCGTGTCTTCTCTTCACCAATACGCTCGACTTCACCTTCCTGCAGTACGCGTAGCAGTTTGCTCTGCAAATCGAGTGGAACCTCACCAACCTCATCCAGAAAAAGCGTTCCGCCATGAGCAAGCTCGAATCGACCAACGCGGTCGCGAAGTGCCCCCGTGAACGCCCCTTTCACATGCCCAAAGAATTCGCTCTCGAATAACTCGCGTGGGATCGCAGCGCAGTTCACTTTGATCAGTGGGCGCGACGCCCGATCGCTAAGCCTATGAAGCTCCCGAGCGACAAGCTCTTTCCCTGCACCACTTTCGCCAAGCACCAGAACGGTCGAGTCGGTGGGCGCGACAAGCTCAATCTGCTTACCGACATTTCGCAAGGCCGGGCTCGCCCCAAGCATCTCGCCAAACCCTTGCTCGACAGCGACCTCCTGCTGGAGATATTCGTTTTCATCCTCCAGTCGCGTGCGAAGTCGCTGTACCTCCTCCCACGCGTAGGAATGCGCGATCGCGGCCGCAGCGTGATCGGCAATCATGCGCAGCCAGTCGAGACAAGCCTCACCGATCGGAATCCGACTGAAGACACCCAGCACCCCCAGTACCATCCCATGATGGCTGAGCGGCTGACCGGCGAACCCCGTCACCCCCTCGTTGCGCACCCAATCCGAATCGGCAATCCACTCCGGCTTCTTTGAAAGGTCAGGGACTTCGATTGGCTCCCCGGTCAAGGCGATGCGCCCGACCTTGCGAACCCCAATCGGAAACCGTCGGAAGCCGCCGTCCACTCGGGTCAGATCCCTGCCCGGATCAGTGACCGAACGCCCTTCACTGGCCACAAGGTGAAGGCACTGCGACCGGTCGGGACATTCATTTTGCAACGGACACGTTTCGCAGCCTTCCCCCGGCCGAACCAACCACAGCCGGGCCAAAGCAACCGCAGGCGAACTTCCGATCCGCGTCACGAGCAGATTCAACAGCGATGGCAACTCGCGCTCTTGCGCAAGGTCCAACAACAACCGCTTCGGGTCACGGAACAGAGGCGTACTGGAAATCAGAGCAGACATATCACAAACATAACGATATTTCGTCACCGAGGAACGACATTTCGCATTTCAACGAGATATCGTCACTAGAGACAGGGCCATCAATTATCCGTAAACATTTACTGTTAATAATCTTATGACCAACAAACACCGCTTGGCACGCAAGGTGCTTACTGAAACAGCAACGATCGTGAAAGGTCGTCAGTATCGAAACCAGTTCAATTCGAGGAGAGAAACCATGTCCCGTCTTCCCCAAATCGCCCCCGAGCAGGCGAATACCCAGCAGTCCGAGTTGTTCACGGCCGTCAAGGCAAAGCTCGGGCGAGTGCCTAATATGCTCAGTGCGTTGGCCAATTCGCCAGCAGCACTCCGCGGGTATCTCGAATTCTCGGGAGCACTCAGCTCCGGCCAGGGCCTCAACGCTCAACAACGAGAACTCGTCGCCCTCACCGTGGCTCAAACGAATGGCTGTGAATACTGCCTGGCAGCCCATTCGACGATCGGCAAGATGACTGGCCTTTCGCCTGAGGACATCGAAGCTGCCCGTCGTGCTGACGGCGGAGATGAGACAAGCCGCGCATTGGCACGCTTCACCCATGCGGTTGTTCAATCCCGTGGACGAGTTGAGAACGGCCAACTGGATGAATTCCGCGCTGCCGGGTTCAACGACGAAGCGGTTGCCGAAGTCGTGGCTCACGTCGCGTTGAACGTGTTCACCAACTACTTCAACAATCTTGCCGAGACCGAAGTCGATTTTCCGGCCGCGGCACCGTTGGAATACGCACAAGCCGGGGCAAGTTGCAGCGTGTGATCATTCTCAATGACCCGAGTCGTCCACCTGGGCGGCTCGGGTTGCTTTTCATTCATTAGACCTGGAGAGACATCATGTCGGCCCCAAATTCGATCCAACCACCGTTCACCCAAGAGTCTGCAATCGCGAAGGTCAGGGCTGCAGAAGACGCCTGGAACTCAAGAGATCCTGTCCGAGTATCCCTGGCCTATAGCGAAGACTCAACTTGGCGAAACCGCCATCAATTCATTCAAGGCCGCACAGAAATCAGGAATTTCCTTGCTCGAAAATGGGAGACGGAGCAAGAGTATCGGCTGATGAAGGATCTCTGGACCTTCGATCGAAGTCGCATCGCAGTCCGTTTTCAGTACGAATACCACGACCCCGATGGCCAGTGGTGGCGATCCTACGGGAACGAACTCTGGGAGTTTGATAGCCAGGGACTGATGCGTCGTCGCGAGGCAAGCATTAACGATCTTCAAATAAGCGAATCCGATCGCAAGTTCCGCTGGCCGCTTGGAGAACCACGTCCGAAAGAGCCGGTAATGCAGCTTTGCGTGGCGTAAAGGTGCCATAACAAGCCCGCCCCACTACCACTGGGGGGCTCCCCCTGGCGCTGCTTCTGCTGCCCCAATTCGAACTCTCTCTACTTCCCGAACAAGCGTTCTCTGCCCAACCCAGACGAGGCCCACCAATCGCCAGTAACTTCGTGACTTATTGCTTGCGATGGAGTCTGACTAGCCTAAACTCCTTATACAGTTCAGGTATGGAATTTCTTCACTCGTGGCGCCGCCTCGGGGTTCAACCGACATCTCGTTCTCGATGATGGGCACATTGGGGAGTCTTACATGAGATACGTACGTTTTCTGCTTACTACTTTGATCGCGGTTTGCGCGGCCAGTGTGGCAAACGCGCAAGACAAGCCCAATATTCTCGTCATCTTTGGCGACGACATTGGGCAGACCAACGTGTCGGCTTACACCCGAGGTCTGGTCGGGTATCAAACCCCGAACATCGATCGCATCTCCACCGAGGGGATGCTATTCACTGACTACTACGCCGAGCAAAGTTGCACCGCCGGCCGTTCGACATTTCTCACTGGGCAGTGCACCTACCGCACGGGTCTTTCGAAGGTCGGCCTCCCTGGTGCCGATGTGGGGCTTCAGCCCGATGACGCGACGATCGCTGAATTGCTGAAACCCCACGGTTACGCCAGTGGCCAGTTCGGAAAGAACCACCTTGGCGATCGAGATGAGTTCTTACCAACCAACCACGGCTTCGACGAATTCTTAGGTAACCTCTATCACCTCAACGCTGAAGAGGAACCCGAGAATCGCAACTATCCCCAAGACCCCGAGTTCCGAAAGAAGTTCGGTCCCCGTGGTGTGATCAAATCGAGTGCCGACGGAAAGATCGAAGACACCGGCCCACTTACCCGAAAGCGCATGGAGACGATCGACGAAGAAACCTCCAATGCGGCGATCGACTTCATCGAGCGTCAGACGAAGGCGAAGAAACCCTTCTTCTGCTGGTGGAATGCAACCCGAATGCACTTCCGCACTCACGTTAAAGCAGAGAACCGCGACAAACCGGGGCTGACCTCCCGCACTGAATATGCAGACGGGATGATCGAGCACGATGCACAAGTCGGCAAGATCCTGGATAAGCTCGACGAGCTTGGAATCGCCGATAACACCATCGTGCTTTACACCACCGACAACGGCCCTCACAAGAACACCTGGCCCGACGCCGGACTGAGCCCATTCCGTAACGAGAAGAACTCGAACTGGGAAGGTGCTTTCCGTGTTCCCTGCATGATTCGCTGGCCCGGCAAGATCAAACCCGGCAGTGTTTCGAACGAGATCGTAAGCGGCCTCGACTGGTTGCCGACCCTCCTTGCCGCAGTCGGCGAAGACGATATCAAAGAGCAACTCCTGAAGGGATACGATGCCGCTGGCAAAACGTTTAAAGTCCATCTCGATGGCTATAACATCCTCCCGTACCTCATTGGCAAGGAGAAGGAGAGCCCACGTGACTCCTTCTTCTACTTCAACGACGATGGGCAAATCGTAGGAATGCGATTCGAGAACTGGAAGTTGGTCTTCCTCGAACAGCGCGTGAATGGAACCCTCCAGGTTTGGGCAGAGCCATTCACTCCCCTGCGGCTACCCAAGATGTACGACCTGCGAGCCGATCCTTATGAACAGGCCGACATCACATCTAACACCTACTACGATTGGCTGCTCGATCACGCCTTCCTGATTGTTCCAGCTCAGCAGTTTGCTTCTAACTTCCTGGCAACTTTCAAAGATTTCCCACCCAGCCAGGAACCGGCAAGCTTCAACCTGGACGACGTGATGAAGAAGCTACAGTCAGCCACAAACTAGTCTTCAATACTTTTCGCACGGGGCGTCCATCTCGGGCGCCCCGTGTTTTCTTTTTGGCAATTCTGACTCGCCCACCAACCCCACATTCGTGCCTCGGGTTTTCTTCTTACCGTTCCACTGGGCTTCCCGACTTCCTCTCAGCCGACTACGACCTTCGCAATCGCACTTGCACCAAGGCTTCTAGTCGAACGATCTATGGATCGTGGTATACTCTCGGTCGCCACTCATCAGAATCATTTCGCGACATCGAGTGAGTTACCTCAGGTGAATGGAGTACTTCATGGATCCGCGTGAGTCGGTCCTCAAGATCGCGGAAGCGATGAACGCTGCGGTCATCGGCCAGCAGGAGGTTGTAGAACGAATTATCATCGCACTGCTTGGCAATGGTCACGTGCTTATGGAAGGTCTGCCCGGCACCGCAAAGACTCGTAGCGTAAAGACACTTTCCAAGCTGGTAGAAAGCCAGTTTGGCCGCGTACAGTTCACGCCAGATCTACTGCCTTCCGATGTAACCGGCTCGGAAATCTACCACGAACAAGACGGTACTTTTGTCTTCCAGCCAGGTCCAATCTTTGCCAACCTGGTGCTGGCCGACGAAATCAATCGCGCTCCGGCAAAAGTTCAATCAGCGCTACTGGAAGCGATGGAAGAGCGGCAGGTTACCGTCGCTTCGAAGACCCACACGCTGCCCGAGCTTTTCCTGGTACTCGGCACACAAAACCCCATCGAGCAAGAAGGCACTTATCCCTTGCCCGAGGCCCAGATGGACCGCTTCCAGCTCTACGTTCGCGTCGACTACCCGGCGGGTGAAAACGAAGCGGCAATTCTGCGGCTGGTTCGCGGAGAAAAGGCAGGCGATTCCGCCACCCCCCCTGCCCCGGTTTCTCAGGACGTCATCTTCGAGGCCCGCAAGCAAGTGAATGCCGTGCACGTTGCCGAGGCCGCTGAGCAATACATCGTCGACCTCGTTCTGGCCACGCGTCATCCTGAGAAATACGAAGGCAACCTGCCGAAGTGGATCCGACTTGGGGCCAGTCCCCGCGGAACGATCGCACTCGATGCTGCCTCTCGGGCGCACGCTTGGCTTGAAGGCCAAGATTTCGTATCGCCCGAGAACATCCGAGCGGTGGCCCCGGCTTGCCTTGCCCATCGGGTGCATCTCACTTACGAAGCCGAAGCCGCGGGAGTAACGCGGACGCGAGTGATTGAAGAACTGCTCAAACAGGTTGTCCCGGTCTAGAGACGAATGAGTGCTCGCTTAACGGTAACCCTCGAAGAGCTGATGCTGTTGAAGGCCGATGCACGTGGCTTCTCGCTGCTGCCCCGTCAGCCCGTGGGCTCGTTGTTGGCAGGCCGGCACGCTTCGCGACTTCGCGGCCGTGGGCTGACCTTCGAAGAACTTCGCAACTACCGCCAAGGCGACGACATTCGCATGATGGATTGGAAGGCAACCGCCCGCCTTCGCTCGCCGCAGGTGCGCGTTTATTCGGAAGAACGCGAACGGCCCGTGCTGCTCATCGTCGACCAGCGAACCACCATGTTCTTCGGAAGTCGACGTGCTATGAAATCGGTCGCCGCCGCCGAGTTGGCTGCGCTCGGAGCATGGAAAGCACTCGAAGGAGACGACCGTGTCGGTGGACTGGTTTTCAACGATCACGAAGTCATTGAAGTCCGACCGCACCGCAGCCAAACACGCGTATTGCAACTACTCCATGAAGTCGAGCGACATAACCAGATGCTGGACTCACCAACTCCGCCGAAGGGAGCTGTATCGCTGAATGATGCCCTGCAGCGAGCTTTGCACGTTGCCAAGCACGACCACCTGGTAGTGCTCATTAGCGATCTCGACGGTGCCGACAAAGAAACGCAACAACTAGCAACACGCCTTGCAACTCACAACGATGTGTTAGTCGTCGCCGTCTACGATCCCCTGGGCGCCTCGCTTGTCGGAGCCCCCGGCATGCTCGCCAGCGACCGGGGGGGGGTGTGGGAAGTTCCGGGCAGCACTTCTTTCGCGGAGAAGTTTCAAGCCGAATTCCAAAGTCTCTTGGATCATTGGCGAGAAGTCTTCCGGGCCCTCAAGGTGCCCGTCCTGCCGATCTCAACGGCAAGACCGATTCCAGAACAAGTACGTTCTCTGCTGGGAAATCGCCCGAGAATGTCATGAACGACAACGCAACCAGCCTTGAGAACCTGCATGACATCGTAAGCCCTCCACCAGTCCCGTGGTGGCCCCCTGCTCCTGCTTGGTACGTTGTGCTGTTGCTGGCCCTCTGCGTGCTCTTCTGGGTGGGGCTGCATTACTGGAATCAATGGCGAGCCAATGCTTACCGTCGAGCAGCCCTCCGCGAACTGAACGATGCACGAACCGCTACGGCCATTGCTGAACTTTTGAAGAGAACCGCTTTAAGCATCGCCCCTCGCGAATCGATCGCCTCGTTGACCGGCCCGGAATGGATCGGGTGGCTCTCGAATACGGTGCCCAAACAAATGCCGGACGAGGTTCGCCGGCAGTTAACCAATGACATCTACTCCGCTGGCGGAAGCCCATCGGAACTCATATCACTTCGGGCGTACGCCGCGGCCTGGATTCAGCATCACCGGGTTTCAGGCACCACCAACCATTAACGCGAACGCAAGTGTGACATGGTCGTATTCGGCTATCCCTGGATCTTTCTGCTGCTTCCACTGCCGTGGCTAGTGAGAATTGCACTGCCGGCAGCCAAGAAACAGCAGCTAGCCGTTCGTGTTCCCTTCGGCGCACGGCTCGCCCAGGCGCTTGGTCAACAGAATAAGGTCGATGCCCCACGAGAAAAGCCGTACCGGTTGATCATTCCCGCCATCGTTTGGGTGTTGGTTATTGCCGCACTGGCCCGTCCACAGCAGATCGAGCCCCCGATAACCAAGGAACTTCCTGCGCGAGACCTCCTACTGCTGGTCGATCTCTCCAGTTCGATGGGTCAAGAAGACTTCACCAACCAAGCTGGCCAGAAAGTCGATCGACTGACGGCCGTGAAGGAAGTGTTGGGCGATTTTCTCGAACACCGCCAGGGAGACCGCGTCGGGCTAGTCGTGTTCGGCGATGCTCCTTACCTCCAGGCGCCCTTCTCCACCGACCTGGAACTGGTTCGAAAGCTGCTCGACGAATGCGCTGTGGGCATGGCCGGACCACGCACGGCCTTCGGTGATGCAATCGGGCTAGGTGTAAGTCTGTTCGATCAAAGCGAAGCCCCTGCGAAGACGATCATCGCGCTCACCGATGGCAACGACACCAAGAGCCATGTCCCTCCGGTTGAAGCAGCTCGAGTCGCTGCCCAACGCGACATTCGCATTTATACCGTGGCGATTGGCGACCCAACCACGACCGGAGAAGACAAGCTTGACGAACAGGCCTTAAAAGACGTTGCCTCCGCGGCCGATGGGTCGTACTTCTTTGCGGCCGATCGCGAGAGCCTGCAAGGCATCTACGACGAACTCGATAAGATCGAGACCCGAGAGGTCAAAACCGTCAGCCATCGCCCACGGAAAGACCTCTACTACTGGCCGTTAGCCCTGGCTCTGTTCATTTCGCTTTTACAGAAGGCCTACACGTTGATCGCTCATCGCCAGAGTGGCTCGCTTGCCGTGCAAGACCGAATGGTTCATGTCGATCCGATGACCGGCAAACTGGAGCTGGGCGTATGATCGGCGCACTGACCAACTTGCACTTCATCCGCCCGTGGTGGCTTGCCTTGATCCCCGTGGTCCTAGGACTGTGGTGGCTGTGGCAACGCAATGCCGATCCCTTGCGTGGCTGGCGTCAACAGATGGAACCAGAATTCCTCCAAGCACTTGTCGTGGGCCGCCAACGCAAGGGAACATTTGTCTCATACCTGCTGCTGGCAGCTTGGCTGTTGGCGGTCCTGGCAATCGCAGGCCCCACGTGGCGATTGGAGCCCAACCCCTTCGCCGACGATGCAGAGCCGCTGATGATTCTGCTCAAGGCCGATCAGAGCATGAATCAGCCGCCACCCTCGCCCTCGCGAATCGAGCGAGCCCATCTAAAAATCGCCGACCTAGCCAAGGTACGAAAGGGGCAACCGCTGGGGTTGATCGCCTACGCAGGCTCATCGCACATGGTCCTGCCACCAACACGCGACACCGAAATCGTGGCAGAAATGGCCGACGAAATCAGCCCCGAGATCATGCCCGAGCCTGGAGACCGTCTCGATTTGGCCATCATGCAGGCAAGCGAGTTGCTCCAGAGCGAGAACCAAGGAGGCTCGCTCTTGATCATTGCCGACTCAGCAGAGATCGACGCAATGGCAGTTGCCCAAGTCGCGCGAGATAGTTCATTGCCGGTCCAAATCCTTGCCCTCTCCGCTCCAGATAGCCCCGAGCGTGAGAGCCTCGAAGACGTCGCGAGTGCTCTCAATGCTTCGATGCAAACGCTGACAGTAGACGACCAAGACGTAGTCGCACTCGTCGAGTTCGCCGAACGCAGTGCGGGCACCGCCATGGCGGGGGAAAGCAGCCGATGGCAAGAAGCCGGGTATTGGCTCACCCCTGCCATTGCACTGCTCGTGCTTTTCTCATTTCGCCGAGAGCAGATCGTTGCCGCAGAGGAGACACCATGAGAACCGGTCTCGTACTGCTGGCCATCACTTGGATGGGGCTGTGGCTCACGCCCGATCAGCAGGGACAGCGATTAATGAAACGCGGCGAGTTCGAAAAGGCCGCCGCAGTGTACGACGACCCCGTACGCCAAGGAGTCGCCTGGTATCGCGCAGGCGAATTCGAGAAAGCCACTCAAGCTTTTGCCCGGTCTTCCACGCCGGAAGCCTATTTCAATTCCGGCAACGCTTGGGTCATGCTCGGCAAATACGACAAGGCAATCACTAGCTATGACCAGGCTCTCAAGCTAAGGCCCGACTGGAAAGCAGCCCTAGAGAATCGCCAGCTTGCCGAAGCAAGGGCAAAGTTAGTGGAACAAAAAGGCGGCGATCTTGGCGACCAGCAAGAAGGTGCCGACGAGGTGGTTTTCGACAATAAGAAACAACCCGGCGGGCAAGACACCGAAGTGAATGCAGCCCAGGCCACTAGCGATGCGGCCGTGCAGGCTATCTGGCTTCGCAATGTGCAAACCAACCCGGCCGACTTCCTCAAGGCGAAGTTTGCCTATCAGCAAGCTCGAGCAGCAGGAGGTGAAGAGTGAAACGTCGCCTCTGCTTTTCAGGCCAAGTCGCGCTAGTCCAAGTGTTACTCTGCTGCTTTCTCCCAACTGGAATGGCCGATGACCCTTTGGTCACCAGCGAAGCAGCGGAGAAGGAAGTTTGGGTCGGGCAGAAAGCGCCCTTCTACGTCAAAGTGAGAGGAAAAGGACCGTTCAAGGGTGCCACCAGTTTTTCAATCCCACACATCCCGCAGACCGTGATTGTCAACGTTGGCAGCCCAGTCGTCTCTTCCGAGGAAGTGGGTGATGAATCGTGGTTCGTGCAAACCCACGAGTTCGCCCTCTTCACCCAGGCCGAGGGCACGGTCGAAGTTCCAAGTTTCGAAGTGCGATTTACCGACCACGATGGCTTCACAGGTCCAGAGGTCGACCATACAGAACAGGTGCCATCTCTTTCATTCGAGGTGAAGCGGCCGCCAGACAGCGCAGACCTCGGCTTTCTGGTCACCACCGATGACTTCGAAGTCACAGAAACCTGGGATCCGCAACCCGGCAATGCAAAGCAAGGTGATGTCTTCCATCGCACAATCACGCAAGAGGCCGACCAGGTAACGGCCATGGCCCTCGCCCCCCCACCGACCACGGCACCCAGTGGAGTTCGAGTATACACGGACGAACCTCAACTCAACGATGATACCCAGCGGGGAGAATTCCGAGGAACGCGGAGCGATACGATTACTTACCTGCTGGAAAAACCGGGAACGGTCACCATTCCCGCCATTAAGTACACTTGGTGGAATCCCGACTCGCAGGAGTACGGCTCGCAGAGCCTGCCGGCCGTCACGTTCGACGTCGCCCCACTCCCGCAACCCGCAGCTACCGCCGAGTCCACGAAGACAGATTACCGTTGGGTCCCCTGGTTAATCGCACTTATAGGTCTCTGCGGCTTGGCACTTTGGCAGCGGCATCATCTCAGTTCACTTGCCAAAGCCTTCTTGCACTGGCTAAATCCACCCAAGCGAGTTGCAGCCCGCGCACTTGTCCGTGCCTGCCATCACAACGATGCCAAGGCGGCCGAAGCTGCTTGGTTGCGGTGGCAAAGTCTCCAAGCGAGTGTGCTACCCGTCGAGCCCAAACTCAAACGCGCCATTTCCGATCTCGATCGCCACATCTATGGCCACGCAGAGCGAACCGCTTGGAATGGGAGCGAATTGGCGACAGCTTTTCGTGAGCAGATGAAGGAGAATAGATCTCCTCTCTCCAGACCAGCAATGGAACTGGCCCCACTCAACCCACGTTGAGGGGCAATCACCCGGCGCATTAAGGCAAGAAGAAACCGAACGACGCCTGAATCCGGTTTGCCACTCCAGTAGCGCCGTCGACATCTTCCCGAAGCCCCCACAAATACTCGATCCCGACGAATACACGCTCATAGGGATTCGCGATTAGGTTCACCGCAAGATAGTCGGTTCGACTCAAGTTCGAGGGATCCTGCCCTGGTATGTAGGCAAGGTTCAGCCGACTGAACGTGAAGTTCGACGTTAGGGAATCGCTCCAGTCGTGATGCAGGCCTATCATCCAACCAAACAGAGAGGAGATCTCCGCCGAGAATGGACCGGTCGCAACGATATCGGGCGAGCCTCGATAGCTGGCGATCCCGTCGCCAAAGGTTATCTGGTAGTAGGCCTGAGTTGGCTCAATAAGCTGGAACGCACCCACAAAGTTCCATCCCCACGCCGTCTCTGAAATCACCGGCTGCCCAACCGGCTGAAATCCTAGCTCTCTAATGACAAATGCCGCTTGAGCCATTCCCCAATCGCGTTCAAACCGTAGATGTGAAACCAAGTCGGGAGATTCGGTTCTGCCTTCGCCCTCGATCTGCGAAGGAACTTCTACAATGATTTGCGGATCTTCCAACGAGGCCGCCAGGGTGAACCCCGTGTCGCCCAAAGGCTGTGTGAACCTGACGAGCCCCTGCCGCCGGTTCACGTTCGATGTGGACCCTTCAAAGTCGAGAGTTTGCGGCACCGCATTCGGATCGGTAAACGTTGTCCAAGTCTGCCCCGCCGTGAAGCGACCAATCGATCCAAAGGCCTGACGCAAACGCAACGAATCACCACCTTGAAGGTTCTGCCCAAAGAAGTCACCCGACACGAACGTTCGAACGATGCGGCTTCCGATTTGCCAGCGAGCGTCTAGCGTCAAACGCGTTTGCCGAGCATGAAACCTTGTGTTTTGCCGCGGGGCGGCATCGGTAGGAATCGTCGAAGTGACAAAAGAGTCTTCCGACCCGATGGCATTGAAGTCGTGGATTAGGTCGGCCTTAACGTAGCCGCCAATCTTCATCGACACGTTACTACCTTCGATGATCGCCCCACCATCGAACGCGGGCGGGTCCACAAAATTGTTCTGTCGTATTATCGGGGCATCATTCGACAGAAAAGGCAGCCTTCCACCCTGATTCAGCCGCAGCGATCCGGAGAAAAAGTTGCCCGGCTGAAACACGGCAGGGACGACCTCATTCGCCTCATTTTCAATAGGCTCTGTGTAAGTGGCGATGTCCACCGACGTTCGCGTATCGCCAGCCGGAGGCAGCCGCACCGGCATCTCTTCTGCACTCGCTCCGTCATTGGCAAGCAGCCTGCCATGAAAAGCCAGCAGCGCAATCACCGCAAGCGTGGCTTTAAACCAGCTTCCCGTGAGCACCACCATAAGAATTACCGCATCTGCATAATCAGAAGAGTCCCGTAGCTTCCATCGGTTTCAAACTGCGTTAACTGCAGAAGTTTTGAGGATCTCCCTGAGACTGCTGGGCACTTGCGATCGGCCACAACACGCTATGCAGGAACGACTTAACGACGCCGCATCACCATCTTTATCGGCGAATCGCTCATAGCTGCACCGGCGAGCTGGGGTTTAGCGCGGTAGCTGGCAATAGAAATCGACGAACGCTACCAACCTCGGGAAACAGCAACGGGACATGACTTCGTGAACTGTTATCCCGATCCAACTCCGCTACGATGATGGCGCTCGAAGCCGTCATTGATATTCCAACCTTCAAACATCCTCACGAGATGAGCGCCATGAAACACTTAATCCTGTTTCTATTTCTCAGCCTTTCCCTGTTACCCGCGGTCCACGGCGATGATTGGCCTCAGTGGCGTGGTCCGAATCGCGATGGGCTTTCGGCCGAGACCGGATTGCTTCAAGAGTGGCCCGAGGACGGCCCTCCTCTGCGTTGGGCAGCTACAGAAATCGGCACCGGCTATTCCACGCCATCGATCGTCGATGGTCGCGTTTACGTTCAGACCACTCACGACAATGAAGAGTTCGCTTTAGTCCTCGACGAGAAGACGGGCGAGGAGATCTGGGAAGTCAAGATCGGCACGGTGGGTGAAAACCGCGGTCCTCAGTATCCCGGCACGCGTAGCACCCCCACGGTCGACGGTGACCTGGTCTATTGCCTGGCCTCGGGTGGCGAGTTGACTTGCTTAGAAACAAGCTCAGGCAACATGAAATGGCAGGTTAGTTTGCCCAACGACCTGGGCGGCGAGGTCGGCAGTTGGGCCTATACCGAGTCGGTACTCGTCGATGGCAACGTCGTGATCTGCACCCCTGGAGGAGAAGAAGCCACACTGGCCGCACTCGATAAGCTGAACGGCAAACCGGTCTGGAAATCGGCAGTTCCTGAAGGGGACATCGCCGATTACGCCTCGATTATGCCCGTGGGTGATGGGCCTGAGAAGCAATACGTTCAATTCTTACGCAAGGGTCTGACCGGCGTTCGCGCGTCTAACGGAGAGTACCTCTGGCGTTACGAAGCGACTGCCGATCGAGGGGCCAACATCCTCACCCCCGTGGTCCAAGGAAACTTGGTGTTCTCCTCAGGCTCCCGATCGGGCGGCGGGCTGGTCAAACTAGAGCCCAGTTCCGATGGCGTCAACGCGACCCAGATCTACTTCGACCGTTCGCTCGGCTCGAGCATCGGTGGAGCCGTACTCATCGATGGCCACCTTTACGGCTCAACCAGTAACGCCATGTATTGTGCCGACTTCAAAACCGGCGAGATCAAATGGCAGAAGCGAGTCGTCGGTAATGCATCACTCTGTTATGCCGACGGACGAATCTACATGCGAGGACACGACAATGCCGACGTCGTGTTGATCGACCCTTCGCCAGAAGAACTAAAAGAAGTCAGCCGGTTCACCCAACCCAACCGCAGCGAGGTACGAGCCTGGCCGCACCCCGTGGTCGCCAACGGTGGATTCTTCCTGCGAGACGACCAGGTCCTGCTGTGTTTCGAAGTGAAAGCCGAGTGATCACCCAGCACGGGCACTAAGGCAATACGAATGGCCCGTTGCGATGCCCAACGAGAAGGCCGGCGCCGGAGCTAAACAGCACGAGCCCCAAGGCAAAAGAAGAACTCAAGCCACAATCCCTGGCTGGGCAGCTACTTGCGGAAAACCCACAAGTACCCCCTAGGGGAGTCGAACCCCTGTCTTCGGACTGAGAATCCGATGTCCTGGGCCACTAGACGAAGGGGGCAGGGTTGGGAATCTATTTCATCGGCTTATTCACCACGACGGTTTAGCCGGGCCCAAAGTTCGCGTGGAACAGGTGGACTCGCGACGGGGCGATAGGCTTTCCGAGTTACGAATCTTCCGGTGATTACCCCCGATTGTCAACCGTCGGTCGGCCCGAATCGCTCATTTTCCCAGGCCTCCCACTCCTGGGCCGACTGTTCTCTCAGGTCTTTCTGCTCCCGCTCCAAGAGTTGGACCGCCCCCAGCACTGAGTTTCGCATTTGGCGATCGTCCAGATCGTCACGGAGTGGGCGAAGCTGGAAGTACGCGTGGGTCGCTTGATCGAACTGCTTGGTCAGCGTGTACACCACGACTTCGCCTGCCAGCCCAAATGCCTGGGTGTCTCTCGGCTGCTCAGGCTGGGCGAATTCCTCGAACAGCTCAAGTGCCTTATCGTACTCGTCTTGATGTAAATAGATCCGCGCGATCTGCTGCTGAGCCTTCGCCACGAACTCTTCGTGCTCTGGATAGTGCTCTTCGATTGATTGCCAGGCCTCGATCGTGTCGGCATTCATGGCAAATACATATTGTTCACCAACCGTACCCAGCTTTTCGTAGCCCGAAGAATCACCAGCACCCGAAGCCAATAGGCTCGGCGGTCGCACCATTCGGCCGACGAACGAACCAGCGAATAGTGCAATCAAAAGCACAGCGGCCCAAGTGGCCCACCATCGCCAGGTGTTGCGTGTCTTGGCCGTTTCACGCATCACCGTAGCCAGCCGCGTGGTCGCCTCTCCGGCGCTCGATGTCGTGGTCGACAGTTGAGCGATCGTCTCTGCGTCAAGCAACTCAGTCCAATCGTCGCTCTCGCCCTGTCCATCGATCGCCCGCAGGTCGACCAGAAGGTCGCGTGCGGTAGCGTAACGAGAATCCGGCTCTTTGCTCATCATCCGGTGAACGATGCGACACAATGCCGGTGGAATGTCGGGCCGAACGTTTTCCAATCGCGGGGGTAACTTGTGCAGGTGCTGCACCGCCACGCTCAGCGGTGTTTCTCCTTGAAACGGCGGCGAACCACTAAGCATGTGGAAACACGTAACCCCCAAAGAATAGATGTCGCTGCTGGGATCGAGCTTGCCGCCTTCAACTTGCTCGGGGCTCATATATAGCGGGGTGCCCATCGTCACGCCCACTTGCGTGAGATTCACGGTGGCTCCGTTACTGGTAGTGCGGGCCAAACCAAAGTCGGCCACTTTCACCTCACCCGAACTGGCCAGCATGATGTTCTCAGGCTTGATATCGCGATGCACGATCGACTGCGAGGCAGCTTTCGCCAGTGCGGCAGCCACTTGGCGCATGATCGCCAACGCTAACTTTGTGTCGACGGGCCCGTGCCGAAGCAACAACTGCTGCAGGTTCTGCCCTTGCACATATTCCTGAGCAATGTAGTGAATGCCATCGACACAGCCGACTTCGTAAATCTGCACGATATTGGCGTGCACCAACGCCGCGGCAGCTCGGGCCTCGAGTTGAAACCGCTTGATGTAAGTTTCGTCGACGGATAGCTGTGGGTGAAGAACTTTCAGGGCCACTTGTCGACCGAGCGAGACCTGCTCGGCCAAGTAAACCTCGGCCATCGCCCCTCGGCCTAGCCGACGCAGCACGCGATAATCGCCAAGCTCTCGCCCCGACAGATCGTGGGCTGCAGCGCCTTGTGCGGCATTGTCGACCATGAGTGTTGTATCCGTCCCGACTTCAGATAAATGCGACCCGCCGCA